CCTACAGCTTCCCTCATTCAGGGCTTCAGTAAGCGACACCAAACCAAAACAAAGCAGGCCTACTTCCTGTGACCCTGTGGGTGGCATTTACATCACATTGGCCTAAACAAACTGAATGCATACCCTGAAACCTGCCTTTCATAACTACTGGCCAGAGAAATGCAAGTATCTCCCCAACAACAAGAAGCCCAATTGATTTTTCTCCAAAGTTGGGACTGACTTGAAATATGTGCACTGGTAACCGTTTTCCTTGGTTTATTTTTAGCTGAACACGTGTGGTGTGTGATTTTTTTTTCTTCCGAGCCACAACTGAACAATGACAAACTAGGTAGTAGTGTAAAGTAGAGCACACACCCCCTCAGAACTGACGGTGACCTTTTACATCTATACCAGTCATCTGCTGTAGAGTTAAATCAATAGTTTTGTTAGAGCAGGGAAACAGTTCACTAACTGCCGACGGAATCCAGTGTAAACTTTAGATATGGTGAAATGTGATTTTAATTAAATGTTTTTGTGACAAGAGAAGATGGTAAATACTGTATAGGGCTGTTCCTGTTTACTCAGCTTGATGAAGCTGGAGGCGGGTTGGGCTGAACTGGGATGGACCTTCGTTAGGCAACACCTGAGTCGGTGGAGCATTAGACGAGGTGCATTAGACAGAACCACACAGCCGTTCGGATCCAGGTGAAGCAGAACCGAGGAGGTGCAATAGTGTGCCGTTTATGGGATTAAACCCAAGTTCTCAATTATTTTCTGTCATTTTATTGTTTGAAGTCGTAACATAGTTCCCAGGTTCAGTTTATTAACTCAGTTTGTGACATGTAATACAGACTGCTCTGATTCTCAAAAGAGGAAAAAGTGTTAATGACTCACTGGGTCGTTGATTTTCTACTACAGCATATGTGGGGCAGTGTAAATGGAAGGAGTAAATTTTCACCAAAAAACAAACATTTCTGAGCTTCAGAAGCCAAATAATTGCTAGAAAGAAAAAAAATCTGAAATTTTGAAGATCTCAGAAATTTTCTAAATAAATAAATAAATAAAAAAAACACACAAGGAAATCTCCGAGTTTGAAAACTTGAAAATTTGCCAAATAAAACTCAGAAATAGTTATTAATCTCTGAATTTTTTTTTAGATAAAACTTTGAAATTTGAGTTTCAAAAGCGGAGAATTTTCAACTTTTGAGTCTCAAAAATTGAAAACTTTTTGCAAACGGCAGAGACAGGAGATACATTTATAAAGAGGGAGCAACACTGATTCTTCTTCTGTGGCCAAATCACTGACTCCCAGCACAAACAAAGCCAGCTGTCTAATGAATTTGCCTCCTGATGTTTGGGCCTCAGCCCAAGTGTCAAGTCATGAAAACTACCGCTGTGGTGAGCCTCACACACAAATAACCTACAGCAGAAAGCATGATGCAACGAAGCATGCATGTAGAGGAGGAAACAACGCAGGAAGGATCCAAAAGAAGGTGAAGACAGCAGACAGAGACAAGAGGAAGGGCATGGAAGGATGTTTCACAACGCGAGATGATTTATGATATTTTTGAATTATAGCCCTTACAAACTTTTATTTGTACAGGAATTACGCTGAACTTCAATGCTGAGACCCACCAGAGCTTAGACAAGTCTACATTTTTATCATATCTTGTGTGGAATAGATTAGAAACAACAACGGCTAAATTGATGTTAACCTGTCACAACAAGCAATAAAAAACTAAAAGGAGTTCGAGAACTTTTATTCTGATTTGATTAATAGCTTTGGAACAGAAATTCTGTTTACAGACATATCATAATCCATTTCATTTTAGGTTTTGGTTGTGTGTGGGATTTTATTTCTACGTTGTTTTTGGTCATTTAGTTGGGGTATTTTGGAGATATTTAAAATATCTTCCAGATCCAGTGTCAAGTGTTCTTTACAAAATTATAGTTTATTTATCTACGAGAGCAAACTTGCATATTGTGCCATTTTCACTATGTCACTTGAAACTGGTCTGAAAACATTATATTTATCGCAATTATTCCTGGGACAATTTATCATCCAGCAAAATGTGTTATCACGACAGGCCTGTGTGTAGATGTATAGTGTTAAAATAATATATAAAGAAAGATTAAAACTAACCAATAATAATAATAATAATAACATACTGTACAAGACAGTAGCATAAAAATAATGTGCAGTAATTAGAAATATGAATACTGGACTCAGTTGGATAAGGGATGTGAAACTGAATAAAATGATTTTTTTGAAAAATCTAGATAATATGCATATAAAATGAACTTTAAAAAAGGCATATTCTACCACAGCCACTCAAAGCTCACATGCTTATGATGCAAACAAGCTGACGGTGACTAAACCTAGTATTTTATGTTTTCATGATTTAATAACGGCAGACTGCTTGTCATAATGAGGCCACAGCCACTTGAAGACAACTGCCTGTGATTCATTTGTCTCCACAGTGGGAGTCGCAGTTCACTTAATGACTACAGACATGGAGGACGAGGCTCCCTCTCTACAGGGCTCCATTGTTTGGCAAACGGTGACGAAGCAGTTCTGCAGGTTTCCACCTTCACCTCTCCTCCCGCCTCCACAGCGGAAACTCTGCTTGAGCATGCTCCGTCCCTAAATGCCACACTTCCTAGTTGTGGAAAGCTCCATTCATTCATTCAGTCAGTCTCACGCACGTGGACTAAGGTCGCTTTACAGCTCGCTATCAGACAAACAGAACTACCCGATCGGTGACCTGGGAGGGCACCTGCTGCGACTGGCCACACAAAACATCTGCAGAAGCTTCTCTAATCTAACCTATAGTTCCTCCTAGAAAGTGAAGCAGTTCTCTGCTCCAGTTCTGAAACGTAAAATCCACTTCGGCTGAACTATAAACTATATCAGGAGTATGAAATGCAGATTTCTCCCAAAGCATAAGCACTCTAATCTGCCATTATGACTCCCAGGCCAGCAGGGGGCGCACTCCAAAGGGATACAGGCATCAACAATTCACATTTTTTGTCATTACATTTATGAACAATGGGTCTTGATTAAAATTTTCATCAATGTTTACAATTTGCTACAAATGTAGATATCATAAGCATTTAAAAACTAATAAATGGAACATTTGTCATATAGGCTCACAATGTTTCTGGTTCATCATGACTTATGTTTGTGTAAAAAATTTTTTTTTTTACAGTTTGGTAGACATAATCTGTGGGGAAAATAAAATGGATCAAGCTCCTCCGCCTTCTCTCAGTGCTAACTAGAAACAGCCAATCAGAGCCAGGAGGCGAGTCTTAGTGCTGTCAATAACTCTCCATGTGATGCTGCTTATCCTCCCCCCTCTTGAATATCTTGAATGCTAAAGCTAGTTAGCATGCCTACCAACTATGGTTTTCCTGTAGCGATAAGTTGTTTTGTCATCTTTAGTACTTTGAGCAGCTAGAACTAGAGGTTGATTGACGGCGCTAAGACCATCCTCCTGGCTTTGATTGGTTGTTTTTGACAATTTTAACAAATATGTAAAAGACGTTTTTTATAAAAGGTGCAATATACATGGAGCTGTAATTTTTTCAGTCAATAAGCGTTCTGTTCTCTTTAGTTTTTCATTGCCATTAGCAACAGAGCTGGGCATAATTGTTGAGGTTTTAGGCAGGAAAAAAAATAACTCAGATTTTCCAGAAGATTAATAGAAATTTTAAATCAACTATTTCATGTTTCCCACCACCTAAATTTAAATTTAAACAGTCAACGGAGTGGACGTGTGAGCACACGCTTACTTCACTGCACAAGGTCTACCTTTCATCAAAAACATTTCAGAAATTCCCCTTTATATTGAAAATACTGTAAGCAGAACAAGCTTTTGTTTCGTGGCAGAATTTTTTTTCTGTGAAAACAGTAACAAACATCACCTTTGGACTACATATGACTGACATTTATTCTAACCACTGAGACGCATAAAATCTCATCAGAAATCTTGTTTGCTAAACATCATACAGATCTGAAACTTTTTAATTATTTGAAAGTTTCTATACTCCCTTTTCAGGTTCAATCCTTTGCTTTCACATCAAATTTGTTGAATAACTTTGAACCTATTAAATCAGCGTGTTCTTTTACAGTCTACATATTGATCCTACATCAGCTGAAACTCATCAGGAGGGGAGTAAACTTTAAGAAGCCAGCATGTTTCTGATTTCTGATCAGGCAGACCAAGGCAGCTCTCACCAGCCTTCATCATCATAACTTTACCACAGCAACATGGAACCAGAAAATATGGCACCAAAATAAACAATGGTATTCTGTTAAAGTTAACACATTTAATTTCATCCAATTGCAGAAATGAACAATATCCGTCTCAGTTGGTTTGTGCTGCTAAAATATCAGGTCCATCTGAACAGGTAATAAATCAATCAATCACATGATAAATTAAAACAAGCCCAATAATTTCCATTTACGTGATTTATTGTTTTCCTCGCTCACTTTTTCTACCAAAAACTGCATGACAGTCTGGTGCTTTGGTCTCAACTAGCACTTTTTTTTAAAGGAATTCATAATTCATTTTATTTGTTTCTGTTTTATTTATTTTGGATATTTAAAATGTCTTCCAGTTCCGGTGTTAAATAGAATCGAAAGTTTATTCATCTTTATGTTCTTGCATTATCATACCATTACCACAATATTACTTAAAAATGGTCTCGAAATGACATCATTTATCGCAATAACTTCTTTCACAATATCATCCAGCAAAATGTGTTATCACAGGTTTAGAGCAGCTTTAAATGGTGAAAGACAGGAACTAAGCAACTATTAAATACCTACATCAAACTAGGAATCGCTTTTTACTTTAATAAAATACCTTTTCAATGTAACGTAATGTTAAAAGGCATGTAAAAGAAGAAATTGCTATGACATTAAATGATGATTTCAGCAGGACGGCACACTAGCAGAGTGAGAGTTCAGGGAGACAGGTCTGTCCACGGCCTGTCCTGAGCTCCCATAATCAGCTTACCAGGTTGAACACGGTCTCCACGATGTCTCGGTTGGAAACTTCTCCAACTTCCACCAGGCCGGCCAGCACGGCGAACTTCATCCTGATCCCCCTGATGGGGACCGCGGGGTTGAGCTGCATGGCGCCCGCTCGTCCGTCCTTTCCATCACCTGGCTCCGCTGACTCTGCGCTAGCCATTTGCTAAGGAAGGACGGGACAGGTAGCGTTCACAGGTAAGGCACCTGTTCACCTCCAATGGCGAGGGAGCAGCCGACGTCGAGGGGGTTAGGGGTATTACGGTTCTACTGTCTCCCCCTTCAGATGAGTTGTGATCGGTCTAGAGACACATACTCAGAGCTCTTTTCTTCCCATTTAAAGTAGTTTTTTGAGGGACGCTGTAAAGAGGGAGCAACGGGGGAATGTGGTACTGGTCGGAAATGTCACCGCTCCTCCACTCTGTCCTGCTCGCTCCGTAACTTGATACCCCCACGGATTAATTGATGCGATTAAAGCCGTGAAGAAAGCACACACCGCAGGCAGCGAGCAGCCAGCCGTCCTCCCGCTCCACCAGCTCTCTCCTCTGGACAGTCACTTTAATTTCTCCCCTTCAGCTGTGGAAGTTGCTGCTGTCTCCGAGTGCACTCACTTGACACTCACAACCGAAAACTCCCAACAAAGGAGGGGAGAAGTCCTATGTCCGGCTCCGAAGAAGCGGGTAGCAGACGGATGTGTGCTCGGCGCTGCCCGGGAAGCTCCGGAGACTCGGTTAAATGACAAGGTTGAGCCAGCTGCGCTGGGTTTGCTTCCTGATCTGCCCGGGTAGCTTCAGTTCGTCACCGCCATGACAGTGGAACCCTAGAATGAACGGCGCATGCGCTATACAGACCAACGTCTATTCAGCTCTGAGGCAGGTGAGCCGCTCAGGTGGCTTCTCAGAATGCTGCAGTTCAATTAATATTCGCTCATTTCTTGGCATTCTCACTCCTAGCCTCAGCCTCTGCTCAGGATCATTTGAGAAACAATCAACAAAACCAGAACTGTTTTCTCTGTCCACCTGATAAGCAAGCAAATTGCTGGTGGTTCTGTATAGTTATACGACCTTGACAAAACTGGTCGATCTCAATAAATCTGGCTTTATATCAGTAATTCAAATTTAAAAAAATAAACCCATAAAATACAAAAAGTCAGTAAACACAGACTGATATATTCCAAACATTAATTTTGATGATTATATCTTATTGATAATAAAGATCTAAACTTCATTTTCTCAGAAAATTTTAATTGAATATCAGGGGGGAAATATATTTTTTTAACAGAAAAGAGTAGAGTAGCCCGGTTTCGCTTTGTTGCACGAAGTTTGAAAAAAAAAAAAATTAAAAAAAAAAAATATATATATATATATATATATATATAATTTCTCTTTCATCCTACAGCCTTTAAAACTGATTCAGAGTTTATCTATATGTCTGTGTTTCTAAGCCGCTACTCCATGCTGTTAACTTATTACTTGTTAACATATTTTTATCTAAAATAGAGCACACTTGCCCCATTCCTGATACGCCATAATAAAACATTAGCAACAGTCTTTTTTTTTTGTCTTATTCTAGTCATTCTTAAACATATGAAAGACAAAAAAAACACGCCATTCAAGTAAGTAATGTCCGTAAAAGAGTAATAATAATTTTTAAAAAATGTACCGATCACTTTTAAAATGCTACCAATTGTCATGATTTCATCCCTTCAGCTCCACCTTCTGTGTGCTGATTACTCATTACCCTCACCTGCTCTGTGCTGCTGCCTATTTAAACAACTACTCGTCACCAGCTCAGTGCGAGATCGTCTGTTGCCACTGTCACAGCTTTCAAGCCTAGTCCATGTTCCAAGTAGTCTTCTGGTTTCCTGATCCTGCCTGTTTTTTGACCACTGATTTTTGCCTTTTTCCTTCTGCTCTGAAGATTGTGCCCTCCTGTTGCTGAACCCTGCCTGGTCCTGACCCTGCCTCCTGATTGCCGTCTATTGGATTACTTTGCCTGAGAAACCCCTGTGCATGACCCTGGACTGTGTATACGACTGGCCTCTGGTTTGTGGATTTTGTCCCTGTCATCTAGTTCCTCCCTGAGTCCCCGCGGTCCCCCTCTGCCCTTTCACCCTACACTCTCCAAGCTGGCTTCCCGACCCCTCTGGTCCTCCACCTCCTCACTCACCAGTGTGACCACTCCCCTGTGGAACCCCCTCCTTTCCCTTTATTTAGTAATAAACCTTTTGAGCTGATCTCTGGTCTTGGCTGCGTTTTGGGTTCTGGCTGATTTTCGCATACACGTTACACCAATGGCATGTCCAACTGCATTTAATTCTCATTCGCTTCAAATCCACACTGTCCAGACTTTACTCCTGCCAGTCTATATTTGTATTCCAATTACACTGAGAAATGTTGACTCTTATACTTTTTGCCCACACACTTTGCTGCTTCTTTTCATCCGTTTTGCTCAGATTGAATTGGGTAATAAAGCTTTAGTTCATTCTGCTCCCTCTTCTTGAAAGTTGCCACAAGAAACTTTGACTGAATTCCTCTTGTTTAGTGCTTTTACATCCAAACTAAAAGTTCTTGAGACAGATTCAATAACAATGTTTTTGATAGCTTGACATTTTATTTCAGCTGCGTAATTTATTTTGTGTCGTTGCTGCCTAACAGCCAGGACTACCTTGAAAAAAAGGTTTTTAATCTCAATGGGGTTTTCTCCTGGTATAATAAAAAAGAAAAAAAAAAAGAAAATTTTCTCCACATCAGCAAAAACTCTTGTGGCCCCAAAAAATGAAACAAAAAAAAAGAAACAATCACATTTAAATGAGCAATCTGGACATTTGTGCATCCACTTGTGCAAAACAAAAGTCTCAAAGTTGATGTTGATCTGCAGGATGAATCCGCACTCTGCTGCCATACTGGAGACCGGAATTACAAACTCCACCTCAGTCAGAGTTTTGAAATCGGGGAAAAATTTTCCATCTGAAGTGATCAGTAGCAAGCATGACTCTGCAAATGAGGGGAAGTGGGAGGAAATCCTACAGAATGTGCTCCAAAGCTTCCTGTCCATAACTGTTCAATGTGCTGTCAGCTCCCCAAATTTCTTTATGGATTGATCAAGTCCAATTTAGGTGAAGAAAAACTCAAAAGAAAAAAGTCTCAACTTTGAAAACATGTTTTGGTTCATTTTTGGACCATGTTTTTTGTATTTAGCTAAGTTAATTAAAGTAGATTTTACTGATTTTGAGTAAATGTCACTGAAATGCAAAAATAACGGTTATTAAAAAGATGAATACACTTTATTGCATCAAAGGTTTTCCTTTAAAAGAATATTTACATTTCTTTGTAAATAAAACAAAAACAGTTTCTATCTATATCAATTACTGGTGCTAGCAGGCCAGATTTGTGTCATTATCTACATTTTCATTAACCACGTCATCGTGCAATGCAGATGAAAGCACCAAACATTAATTCGTTCGAAGAGAACAAGAAACAGCTTTGTGGTTTAAAGAAATTTAAAAAAACAGAAAATGTTTTGTTTCCACAACAGCACAAGGAGAAATGTCTCCATCCAGAGGCTCTGCAGACTAGACATTGATGCAAAGTGACAGCTCTGCTTTGCTTGCCTTTTCATATCACCTCCATCACCATAACCCCCTGACACGTGAGATATTTGCAGAGCCGATTTGACAAGGGGTCCCACTTTCATCCAACTCCGTGATTGCATCATGAACGGATCCTAATTGCGCTCAGTCGGAGCTGTGGTAATAAATGCTCTAAATCCATCTTCCCCTGTGTCAGTCTGCTCCGCTGACTTCACATTCGCCCTGCAGTGGGGACGAAGAGGCTGGAAGCGTTTCCACAGAGCCAGCTGATGTCACTGCTGGCGCTGACCTCCCTGTTCACCAGAGCCGTTCCCACGGGGACTCTGGGAGCCATGGAAGCCCTCAGCAGCACCCACTGGGGACAGGCCTCACTTTTTGATTTAATGTTCTCACATCAGCTGACTGGCTCCAATAGCATGTTATTAGTGGGGCATTATTATGTTAAATTTACTTATTTTTTTTCTTCTTTTTTCACTTTTACATCGTATTATGTTTCCCCCTCATCTAAGACACACATGTATTGTTGCTTTGATTATTTCATGCATGAGAAATCCTTTAATCTCCATGGCAACCATTCAGCTGTGCAAAACGCCTGGCTGGACCTAGCCCAGCCTTCGGCTTGCTACTCCTCTTCTGAACTGCAGTTTCCGAGCTTCAGAGAGTTTCTGCCTCACAGAGAACCACTCCCCCGTGACTCCCACACTCAGCTCCTTCAGACTAGCCAGCAGCAATTAGCCAACACCTTGTGGAACTGTGAGCTACTTCTCAGTGCAACCCTGATAAACACATTGTTAAAGGGTTAATAGGATCTGTGTTGTGATGACTTCCTGAGAGTAGAGTTTCAGAAAAAGCAAGAGTTTTTAAAGGCATTAAATTACAAAGTCAAATTTCATTTATAGGTCATATTTAATATAGATAGCATTTTTCTAACAACTGAAGGCAGCATCGTTTATTGACACTGTGTGCCTGGAAAACACATAATACTGGCCCTTTAAAGCCCCTTTAAAATAGAAATGTACAATATCAACTTTAAATATTTCAAAAAGCAGAAAAAAATCTGTGACCTCTCAGGCCATAGAACACACTAAGAACAAAACCAGAACTCACTCTATACATTAAACCACCACTGGGTTAGATACATGTTATCAGGGGCCCATTGGACAACCTTTTGCCTTTAGACCCACCAAAGTTCCTGGTAGATTCAACAACTCATTCTCATCTTGTTGTGATTCAGAAACCAGGTTGAGATTATTGGAGTGTTGTGATGTACAATAAAGACATAAGGTGGGTGGCATGGTCAGTATCAACACTGTGTGGCCTTTAAACACGGCCTGGTCAGTACAAAGACCAGTGGGGAGAAACTATCTTCCAGCCCATTGCACCTCGAGTCTGATGCAACACAGAATGGATCCAAGCTGTTGATTTTTCTACCTTACCATGAAATATTTCCACTGAACTCAGACTTCATTTTAGGCTGAGTTATCTGAGCTATTGTTTGCATTTCTATAATTTTATCTTTGCTACATCTTCTAAACCAATCAGAGCTGGTAAAAACCAAACATCACAGAGCTAAGGAAGGTACATGTGTTTTATTTGTTCATATTTTACAGGATTGCTTGTTTTTACTTGCATTTCCTTCATTAGTTGGCATTGGTAGCTGGAGGGATTATACTAACAGACAACATTCCTAGCAGGGTCACCGTAGGTGGAGACAGTCAACATGCCTGTTTGACCTGTTAATGCAAAGAAACTAGTTACACCTGTTCAAAGCTTGTGATATTGCCATGTCTGACGATAACTATTACTTTAATCACTTTTACTCCCAATATTTTGAAAGAAAAATTATTTTGCATGTTTTAGGTCAAAAGTCGCTGATTAAACATTTTCTGTAGGAATTTTGTGGATCAAATAAATTGCTTATCATATAAAGTTTTATCCTATTTCAGTGAAGGCTGTGCAGATTTTTTTGTTGTATACTTTTTTATATAGTTTAAGTTAATATTGGTTTGGTAAACTGATTTTGAATGTTTTAAAACAGTCTTCCCTTCTATGGAAGCTTTTTTGGGTGCTTCTGTTCAATTGTTATTACTATTATTATGTAAAATAACAATAAATCAGAACATTATAATGTAATTATTTCAAAATTTCAATTAAAAAAAGCAAACTCATATGGCATGTAATAGTAGATTCTAAATCTAACGAAAACTCAAAACTGGACTTATCAAGTTCTCCTTTTCTATTTTTACACAATTACTAAGAAGACAGTTGACTGAAAAGGCCAAAGGTTCCAGACAGCCAAGCATCGACAGTGTGTGTGTGTGTGTGTGTGTGTGTGTGTGTGTGTGTGTGTGTGTGTGTGTGTGTATGCGCGCGCGCGCGCGCGTGCGTGCGTGCGTGTTGCCCATTCAGATCTGCATGAGGAAAAGCTGCCCCGTT